GTGAGGCTGATTCATACAGCAATGTAAAGAAGGCATGTGCCTACCTCAGAATATCTTTGGTGCTTGATGCTTTCACTCATTCCGGGTTGTGTTGACTATCATGGCCAATTTCGTCCTGCTAGCTGCATCGCTCCTTCTCACTTCATGTTCCGCGCAGGAATCGAATGACACATCTATGGCAATATGTCAAGGCCCCATCGATGCTATCGTCAGTGGCAGTCAGTACTTCAACTCGACGGGAACGGCCCGCCTACCCTCAAACCCAATACACGATGATGACTGGTACGTCAGCGTCACCATAACCGATAGACGCGATCCGAATCACATCTACGGGACCGAAATGCCCTGGCAAGAGAGGGAGGCGTTTATAAGTGTTCCTGATTCGCTGGTTGGGAGTCAAGATGGCAATCGGACGGAGTACTGCGTCTACGAACTCCCGGGACAAGACGCCTCTTCGCAGCAGGAAGCTGGAGATTGCAGCGGCGTACTGAGCGACGACTGCATTGACGCGTTGATGAAGAATACGCCGGTCCTGTCGGATGGCCAATGTTATAAGCCAGAGAATGTCGAAGACGCCTGTGGGATGGTTGCGTCGCAGCCAGTCGGTCAGTTTATCCCGCTCTTATCTTGGTTCAGCGACAGCATCTTCAAGGCCTGCTGGTCTGATCATACATCGAGCTTGTACTAACGTCGTGATAAGGTACACCATCGAACTTCAACAGTACCGAGTGTAGTTTGTCCGAGATGCCGCATGTCGATCTACCGGAGAATTATCGCACCTACTACGCCCACTACGTGCCTGTATCTGAAGGCGGAGGTGGTTACGAGAATTTCGACCTTTACGATAATCACATTCGCGAAGCAGTGCCCATGGTCTTCACCATCAAGTCTCCAGGTGGCACCATCGCCCACAAGGCTGTTTGTGTAGCACCGAATGATGTCGTGGACGGCAGCCGTGTTCCAGAGTCTGCTGCTGCTCAGTTGTCCTTCGGGGCTTCACTGGTAGCAGCCCTTATTGTTATGGCTTTTGTATCTGTTCTCTCCATAGCCTGATAAACGTTGGTGTTTCTGTACCTTATACTTGTAGCTTAAAGTAATGACCATCGCATCTGGTGACTTGTGGCATTAGCGTTGTAACGGTAGTAGCACCGGGAATGACAGTCAAGCCGAGCATTCAGCTCTAGTCAGAGTATGATCGGGTGACTCGCAATGTGTCGAAATCTTGGAGCTTGCAGCGACATGTTGGTACGCAACTGGTTTGGGTTGCGACTAAGCTTGGAGCGCGAGAAAAAGCAAAACGATCGACGATTTGTCGCTGCCTCGAGGCAATACCCGGATACCGTGGACATCTGATTGCAGATAGGGTCCGTGTCTCGCTACACCCGGTGGTGGGCTGTATATTGGGAAACTTGCGCAATAATGATTGTCGAGTCGGCAGACGTGTATAGCCGAGATCCTGTCGTGAGAGTTTGCTTGAAGGGTTGTCAAGTGAATGTATTAATTGAAAGCGGGAGGTGCCAGTACTGTTACAGCAACTCCTGACGACGGAGCGTATTGGGATCTGAGATCAGCTATCATCTAGCCGAAGATCTGCAAGACCTTTGACTCGTAAACACCTGTCAGCCTTGATTCCTCGGGGCTACACTCCATGATTATCTACCCACGCGTGCATAACTTCTCATCAGCCTGAACACTGCACATACTTCTCCGCGGCAGTGCACAACGATGACGGTTGATTATTTCCGACTAGAAGAAATCTGAGGCTTCGGTGGGTACGTCAGCGGCTGCGTAAGAGGGTCTAGATGCGACAGTGTAAAAGCGAAGTTGCTATCCCAGCATACAAGTCTAGCCGAAACGACGAGCAGTATGGCGAAGCGCCGACAAAGCTCAACAATCATGCCCTGCCTGCGCTCCGCTCAAAAAGGCAGATTAGAGTCCAGGAACATGGCTTGACAAGCGACGACTACCGATCGCCTGTGGGTGCAACCCCATTTGGTTTCAAGGTTCCCATCGATTAGTCGATGAGGTTGGGAACGACGGGCCAGCCATACCACTAGGACCACGATCCGACACCCCCGATCGAACTGTTCTCAACTTTGCAGTATTGAAGTTCGCGGGCGAGAAGATGGTGTGGTGGATACCAGAGCTACGGTAGCCCAAGCTCCCCGTCAAGGATGATGGGGGCGGCTACCATATCTGACCCCGCTCACAACTCATAGGGAGACTGTTTGGACGAGATACAGCCCCTGAATTGACGACTCCTTATATTTCCCATGTTTTCTAGAGACCTTGTCTCATTGTTTCTCAACAAATCTTCTCCTAGATGATTAGAACTGATCACTGGCCTAAGGCGATACCCAAGTGGCTTGGGTAAAACGGAAGATCGGACGAGGCATCTCTCGGATCTAGCGCTTATACCAACAAGGACGCTTGGATAGCTTCGGAGAGCGAGGCACGAGCCAAATAAGTCTTGAAGACAGGGAATCGTAGTATTCGACTTTGGTGCTCGAGCCGGGGGCATCAGCCATGGGTTTTCAGGGACTTTGGGATAGAGCAGGGACCGCCTTGTGTAACCAGAGTATAAAGGCCTAGCAGCCCGTGTGAGAAGATGGTTCAATCAGCAGTCGGGCTGGCTTGTGATCCGCCTGCATAGTTGCCCACCTCTATGGCAGGTGAAGAGACGACATTTCCAAGATTGACCGGGCCCGGAAAGTGAGCGCATTAGAGGAAAGCAGCCGGAGCAGGAAAATTCTGCAGCGCTTGAGGTCAAGACAAGTGCCGTGCTCCGCACATGCGCTGGTAAGTATGCTCGAAGCTTGCTTGCTGTGGGTGAGTCATCTAGGTCCACGTCGCGATGCAGGCGTATGCGGCCGCCGCTTCGCCGACATATTGTGAAACACGACGGATGAATTGCGTGCATGATCAGTCATACGTACATATGCTCCATGACGACGCTCTATCACGAGCAAGACATTGTCTGTGTTGGAAGGTAAATGTTGGGCGAGGACGGGCCTGGGAAAGGGTTGAGTCGTGGGGGAAGGAGCCACCCGCTTCGTGTCGGCTTAAGTGGGGCACCTGACCCGTCTGTGCCCCTGTCAAGCTGAAAACGCAGGAAACGGTCACGAGTATCCTTACACGTTGCGATATAACATCATGCTCTGTATGCACGCACGATCCTTTTGAATCATGAAATCGGCACCAGCAAAAGTAAAGCATCACAACAACGTGGGGCAGCCGGCCACGGCCGCGGCGCATGTCCAGGACGTTGCCCCGCGTATTCGTTTGCTATGAGGCGCAGCGACAAATCCCAGCTGCAGGTCTCGGGGTCGCCTTTGCAGGTCTGAAACATGGCAATGTGGAATGCTATCGATAAGTCCGTACAGATGGGACGACTGGACGGCGCTGGGGTTGCCGAGCATTGCGTAATGCCCTCGCTTTGCTTCACTTGAGGATACTTTTCTCCAATCGCGCAGCTGTAGGCCTCGCAGGCGATGCGGATTGAAACGGAAACGACCTCTCCGATGCAGCCTTTCTTTTGCGCAGAAGCGACCGTTTCCCATAGAGACAGGTGGAATCGGCCGGAGCGAGTTATTGCCAGTTTATTGCCAGGTCACTGTGGGTAACATCGTCATGAGGCCCGATTGTGTCGGTACTGTAAAGGTGACATCGGCAGCGCCGAATTGATCTGCCTCGAGGTGGCATCGTCACCGCCGGAGCGCACGTGTCTGCGGCTGTGCAGCCTAAGCGAGAGTGGCGCAACTGCCGACGCCACTTGGATAGTCCTCTTGCTTCTTCGCAGGAGTAGCATCATCGTCATCAGGGCACAATTGCGCAAGCAGGAGTCGTAGAATATTCGCATCGTGCTTCAGCAGGCGCCGAAGCTACTCGACCATGGACGCTGGCATGATAAACTTCTGGGCCGTCTGCGGCTCACATGATCGCGGGTTTTTCGGTAGAGAACCCTGCTCGCATCCCTGCTGGGCCCGCTGATTGGGCTGACTGTTTCGAGCCCATTTTTAGGCTCAAGCAACGTCAACCTGTAGATGGCCCAAGACTACCACGACTACACCCACCGTGAAAGTCCTGCTCTGCGAAACCCCTTGACAAGCGTAGAGGGCTCGTCCTCCCTTTAACCGCACACTCCCCAAAAGGGTAGCAAAGCCGCTGCCGTGCTCTCTGCTTCCGGACGCCCAAAGAAGGCTTCTGGAATCCGTGTCATGTCGCAACACCAGATGCTCGACGCCCAACTATAAGCGCAGTTGCAGGCTCGAGGATGCTGCGACGCTCGCCTACGGCGTGTATCCATGTGCAGGTTTGGTGGCTGCTGCGGCCTCCCGATCAGGTTTCTGCGGCCTCGCATCCATCTGCAACCGTGAGGCCGTCTTCAGCTGCCCTGGTGCACAGCACTATTCGGTCATAGTCGTCGATTACATTTGCTATTTCCACTGGGGAGGCTGATCAGACGCCTCTTTCGCAGTCATCTCCGCGCGTGCATGGCCGAGTAGTCGTTCGCACAACACTCGCAGCCATGAGAGCATCGCAATCTTCGCGCACCACACGCATCCGCCTATCCACGCGTGCGCAACGCGCTCGCCGTGTCCGTCGGTCAGCTTAGATCCGACTAGACCTGCAGCTGCGGACTCTGGCCGTATGCACGTTTAAACAAGCTAGATGCGCAGTGCAGCTAAACGGGGCAGTGTGCATGAAATCCTTGCCGACAAGTGTGGCCACGCCGACCCATGATCGTCGCTTGTAAGCTCTTAAGAGATCCCACCCACCACCACCACTAGCCTTCTTCACCCTCCTCCCACCTCGCCTTCCCCCATCCTCATTCGCCCGCCCCTCCCTGTCTCTCCTCCTCAACCCAAGGCGCCTCTCGAAAGATTATACCCGCCAGAGACATTTTCTTACAACCTCTCTTTTGTTCTTTTCTTTGAATCTTTGATAAATCGTCCCATCCTAATATCGCAAACGTCTCGCACATACCACACACACACAACATGCCGATCTCGTTACTACCCGCCTCGGCTGCGGCCTTTGCGCCCCGATCAAACGTCAACGTCGTATTAGCCTCCAAGGTCGAGCCATGGTTAACACAAACCCTCAAGAGGGTCAACCGCGTCAAGCGTCCGTTGAACAGCGTCCAGCAACACACGAGGTGTCTGACAGAAACCCTTTCCGGACCCAACGCGATGTGGTCGCTGTGCTCAATCATGGTACCAAAGGCCCCGGACTCGGAACTGCGCAAGGACAACAACCCGCTGGTAGAGGCGCTCTTCAACTACCAGCTCATCCATATTGAGGCCTACGTCGTACACGTCGACATGGTCTCACAACATGAGGTCGCATTCAAGCTTACACCGGAGACCATCGAAGCGCTTATCGAGTACCACAAGGACATCTACTCCGTCGATGTATCCGCCAGCACCTGGGAATGGGCCGAGAAGGAGCAACAGCTGAAGAAGCTCCAAGATGGATTTGTCCAGGCTGTCAACCGCTACGTCTTCCGAACTGGTGTCAAGGCTCTGGAAGGACTCGAGGAGGATGGTGCGGGAGAGCTACTCGAGGGACGAGGTGAGGATGTCAAGAGCGCCATCATGGGCCTGTTCCTCCCGCTCCTTCCTCCTCCTCCCAGGATCGTCGACGTTGTCCGACCAGCACCGCTTCTGCCAAGCTCGCCCGGCTCCGCCAACTGGTGGGTGCCAACACAGCAGTACCAGTCGCACTCAGCCCCGGTTGACACATGGAGAGTGGTTCCATCGACGCCCAGCCCGACCATCGCTACCTGCGGTGAAACTGGACCAACATTCTGGAGCACCATGGGCAACATGGGCTTCGAAGCGATCCAGCTTCCGTCACCGACACCCTCCTACAGCCAGCCATACAACTCGACGAGCCCGTACGCACCGTGCACCAGCCCATATGCGCCAAGCACCAGCCCCTACACGTCAAGTTCGTACTACAGCCCGCCCCCAGCGTCGGCACCGATACCAGCCCTTCCTCTGCCGAGCGTGCTAGCCCAGCAGTGCGGGTCAAGCGCCGTTCATGGAGGTTTCGGCGGTTTCGGATGGGACACAGGATTCGCACCACAGTACGCAGCATTCACATAAGCTGAATGACAAACTCGACTGTGGTGTATGCACCTGTTCTCTGTCGATGCTGGGAAGCGTGGACCTGGCCAGTCCCCCTTGCACTTCCCTTTACCGCGCAGGTTGCCCAGCGCACCAACCTTGCGACGCCCGACACGAGACGAATGCGATATTCACGACACGATGTGCAAGCATCACTACCCAACCGGCATGGGACGGCGTTTTATCATTGATTCCTTTTAGCGAGCGTCATTTCCCCTCTCCTTCTCCGTACATTTTCTTTTTGATACCTGCTCTCACGTTCTGTTTTGTTTTTAGCGAGCGATTTCCTTTTTTGTCTACCACAACGGCCGGACCAGGTCTTTTCATTTACTTGAATACAGCATCTCTGGGAGGCATGCATGTCGGGCATTTCAAACGGAAGACGGTTAAACAACAGCCTCACGGCTCACGAGGTCAGGCACACTCGGTTTTGGGATTTTTGTTGTGCTTTTTTCCTGTTTGTTAATGTCGTTTTACAACTCCTGGACGGATGCGCTATCTCTTCGTTGAGCCTGTGGCATGCCATGACTCTTTACGATCTGACGCGATTCACGTTCACGAATTACGCTTACTTGGCCTGGCATTGAGTGTCAGCTGGATCTGCCGAGAGGCGGCGACAAAAGTTATACATGCATCTGCGATGCCGCTGTGATAGCTCGTCTCTGTTGCGAAGGAGGACTGGGTCGGAAAAACTAGGGAAAGCGACTGCGCGGGGTCGAGACATGAGCACGCCCGTGGCGTCTCTGCCTCTCGGGAGGTGGTCCTCTGCTTGCGGAGCAAACACTTCCTGATGCACCTTTGCGCTATCGCTGACCCTTCTTTCGACTTGGGACACTGGATGCACGGAGACTGTAGGTTCATCTCCTACACTTCAAGCAAGTTCTTGGAAGAAGCACTCTCCTGGTTGACCTGGGAGCAGTTGAATCGGATGCTGGAACAGAAGCAAGCTTCTTTAGCCTTCTAAACTTAATAAAAAACGAAACTTGAATCAAAGAAATCAACTCTTCAAAGAATTGTACATCGTCGCGAGTGAGACTTGGTGATTAACATGGAGTGCGACGCCCCTACAGCCTGACAGCCACGCACCGCCAAACTAGGACTTTCGCATTCGCGTCGATCATCCTCGCAGATCAAGAACACGATACCCACTTTCGATGCGACATGGAACATCGCATCACCCGAGCCCTTGGTGTTGGTAAGTGACCACTTTTTGCGGCACAGTTTGGCGAGGCCACCAGGCGACGCCGCCGCAACAGCGCGCGCAGCCTGATGTTCTGCCCAGCCGGCCTCGCCAACTTCAGCCCCACGCAAATCGCAGCAAGCTCAGCATCCCGCCCTATCGACCATTCCACCTCTCAACACCGTCAATGCCAGAGAACTGCGACGCTCATCAAACCGAAATCAGAGGTAGTGAAAGCCGTTGAGTCAGAGTCGCAGAATACACAATCGATGAAAGATTTGGCACGGCAAACAGCCGACCAACGCGCCATTATGCCAACCCTGACAAACATCCGAAACATTTGATCACAGAAAGAATAGAATGCGCCTTTGACTCAGACTGCGGTCTGGTTCTGGGTTGGTCTTGGTCTTTGAGATTGTACTTTGGTATAACATTCGATCACAAAGACCATCAGTAGCAGAAAACACACTTGCTATCAAAGAGAATATCACATCGCGTGATCGCATGTCAAGCTAACCTTCGCCTTATAACCACGTCTCAGCCTTTGACTGAAGCTCATCTCTCAGCTTCTCATATATACGCGAAATCTACCTAGGTACTCATTCTCTATAAGCATCGTGTGCGCCACAGCATTCACTTTCTACGCCGCGAGAATATCCGTCTCGTTTCCTTGGTGAAAGAACAACAGGCGGTTGAAGATGGTGTTGTCCGCCTTCCACGTCCGAACTGAGCAGTGCATCACCCTGTGCAGGTACATTCACTCACTCACACTGAGCGGAGTAAGCCTACAACCTCAGCTCCTCGCCAGCCTAACGCCATGACCTCTCCTGGATTCACTATGGCTTCAGTCCCACCCTCTGCATATAAAATCCCCCCCTTTTTCCTCCTAGCTGTTCTCCATCACAGCACCCGAGTCTACTCTCAACCCACCCAACAATCTTCGCGTCGAACCCAGGTCATTATCACCACTAGCAAATTCCAAACTTTGCTAGACCAGAAACAAGCTGTCCGCACCCTACCAACTACTCCCATCTCCTCGCAAACAACAAAGCAGGGATGGCACCCACTCCCTTCGCCAAGCAGATGGAGCAAGCTGCTAAGAAGGACACAAAAGCTGCCGCTCCAGCTCCTAATGCTAAGGCCAACCTACTCGCTTCTGCTTTCGTGACCGCCCCTGGTCCCAAGAAAGCCATGCAGGCGTCCGAGAACAAGATGGGCGATGTGGCCAAAATCTACGAGCTCTCCCATGCAGACCGCAGGGTACTGGCGACGGGACCAAAGGTGCAAATCGTCGACAGCAAGAACGCACCAGTAGCCGAGATGCCCATTGCTCTCTTCCGTGCAGTCTCCGTCAAGAAGGAGATGGTAGCTGGCTCCGATCCAGTGATCAAGCTACCTGCAGAACTTGACGTGCGCATGGTCCAGGACCTGATCAAGCACTTCAACGATATCACCACCTGGAGCAAGTTCGCAAAGGAGATCCGCCCCTACGCAGCCCCGGGCACCTATGAGGACATCCAACTCTGCAGCGCCGCAGACCACCTCGGCATGATGGCATACACCCAACGAATTTTCAACCGCTACTGGGCCCTCATCCGCGCGGAGCGTCTCCCAGAGTACTCAGACATTGACGCCTTTTCCTCCATCCAGACACCGATCGGTGAGAACCTCTTCCGGAAAGTCGTAACCAAGCTCGCACAGGCCGAGCTTGACGGCGAGATCCCCGACCCAGAGGATTACGCCTCCTACCTCGAGCACAACGAGCGTTTCGGACTTGCTGTGACTGGGGCCAAGGAGAAGATGCAGAAGCATCAAGACTACGTTGAGCGCACGGCCAAGCGGGAGGCGAACGCGAAACAGAAGAACGATGCCGATCAGATGTGGTCTCAGCAGCGTAAGCAGAATGAGAAGGAGAAGCAGGACAAGGACAAGGCCAAGTGGGAAGCCGCGAGGAAGACGGAGAGCGAGCTGGCTGCTCGTGTTCAGGCGAAATGGGTGCAGCCGGGGAAGAAACATTGGACCGTGGAGGAGGCGGGGTATCTGCGTCGTGTTCGTGGGGTTAACGTGGCTATTTAGGCCTGACGATAATATCTGCGGCGTCGTGGTGGTTGTGTTTCTGTAGCTGGGCCTGTAGTGGCCAGTATGTGCAGTAGTCGTTCATCTTTGTCTGCATGGGTATATCCATGGAGCGAGAGAATATGGTAGCTAGCATTAAATGAGCTTTTTGTCATTAAATGGTCTCATCTCTTCTTTACTCGTGTTCTCTCTTATAACACTGTGTAGCTTCACTCACGAAACTCTCGAGCCATACAAGAAAAAAACTAAACAGGTCTAGAGCCTACATTAATGCTAAGTCACCTATCTTGTAGGGGTTTAAGTTGATGTAGGCTGCAGGCCTGTTAAGCTTTTTTCCTGGTCTGCGTGTCCTGGAGATTCCCAGGTGCTGTTGCGCGACCGTGCTGTGCTGCGGAGCAATGCGCCAGGTCAGAGATATGCAGAATTCCTTCCAGTTCGAATAAATATGGTAACCGTGTATTCCTGATGAAACTACATTGAGCACAGGCAATCTGGGCTTATGACCGATCAGATGATGAAACCTCAAATGATCTTTACTTCTTCCATCGGCAATGACAGTATCAGACGGGTTATATCTTCTTCCATCTCTTCAGCTTCCTCTTCGCCATCATGATCACTCCTTTCTAATTCCTCATCTTTCTTCCCATCCGTTTCAGATATTGTCCGTTCCAGTTGAATCTGAAGAAAGCCTATCCTCCTGTACTCAGGAAGGTTTTTGGACGTTTGCTGAACCACAATTCCGCCGATCCTGGCACTGATACTTCTCGTGACCAAGAGTTTCATAGTACATCCACTTTTGAATGGAGGATTGGCGGTAGTCAGATCGCAGTCGGGAGAGAACCAAGTGTCAAAGATTTCTAGATTGTTCTGCCGGAATTGTTCCATAATGGGAGCTGACTTTGAGATGTGTTCAAAACGTGTGCTCCATTTCCTTTCACCTTTCTCGACGGCATCAAGCTCATCAAAGCCGGTCAAGTTGAGCACAGGCACCATCAAGATGATGCTAGCGTTAGTGACCTCTCCGAGATTAGCAAGACCAACGACAATATACTCCAGACTGACGACTCTGGCCTCTTTAGTGAATTCATAACCATCCCAGAAGACCTTTGAGTTTTGCGCTGATACCCAAGACCACGAAGGAGCCATCCGGTCAGGGCGCGGTTTGTTCCCCTTTGTGATCCATAGCAAATCCGAGAGTATGCTATTCTTCCATAATCCCGCAATGTAAACGTCGTCTACTCTTTGCAGCCGCGACATTCGATCAACGACAGCTGCAATAGCTGGCAGACAATCACTCTCGTAGGTCAGTCGTAGGTCAGTGTACTCTGTCACAGTCTTCTGCCAGTAAATTTCCTGGTCCATGCATTTGTCACCCCAGTCAAGGCCCGCCGGATTTCCGAAGTAAAGAGCATTTGTATTCCAGGTTTTGTCTTCTCTGGAGTCCTCGGAAGCAAAACCGGTTTGGCACTCCCAGTACACCTGATGTTTGCCAAAGTGTATTGTGCGTTGCGAGAGTCTTCGTTCTTGATACACCCAGGCGCGAGTTAGCAGTGGCATTGACGTCGGCACATCAGTTACGGAGTTCATTGGGAACCTCTCTAGTGACGTCCGGGCGAACAGGTGCGGATGTTTTTCCAGACGTCTCGTGACTGGACGATCCGAAGAAAAGAGACCACCGTTACTATCTTGGCTAGCTGTAGCTGCAATGGTAAGGTGCGAATTC